ATTCAACAGTGTTTTTTTGAATTGTGCTAAATTTCATATTAGTAAACATTAATGATCCCAATGCGAGAATCACCAATCTTTTGGTTGCAACACCAGATAAACATTTGTTATTGCCTCTCCTTTATTCCTTTTCCCTCACTCCAGTCAAATGAGATCAACTATAAGTGGAAAGGTACTATGGCTTAATCCTCTTTTATACTTTGTCTTATTAGTGTCTTAACAGGACTGTATATGTGAGAATATAAGATGAAGAAGATAAAAACATAATAAAAATACTAACTACCAAAAATAATAACAAGGATGATAACCACAGGAACATACAAATAAGGAAGATATTATGTGTGACAATCTTCTTTTTTATGTGCCATGTCCCCTCAGAACGTAGGCGATCATGGCTCTCCACAACTTCCTGTCCCTTGTAGCTCTTAATAAATTTTGTCTTTCTCTTATTTCTCCTAAACCCTGTTCCACCATCCCTTTAGTCAAGCTCACTAAGTAGGTTATGTGTTGTTTTCCTCTGTCCCTCTTGCCTTCTATTTGTCCTGTGAGTATCAGATTTTCCAAGCCCTCCTTCCTAATTATATGCTCCATAAATCTCAACTGTCACTTCCTGATATTAAATATCACTTTTCTTTTTGTTTCCATTTTCTCCAAAATTTTGTCATTGCTCATGTGTTTGGTCCATGGTATCCTCAACATCCTACTGTCAAGCCATATTTCTATTGCCTCAAGTCTCCTCTTCATCTTTGAGGAAATCAATCTGTGACTATATAATAATAATAATAATAATAATAATAATAATAATAACGATTATGCAAATAACAGTAATAGTAGTTGTAAAGCAAAAGGGGGAAGTAAAAAAAATATATTGTGATTTTCCTAAAATTTTATTGTGCTCAACTGAATAAAAAAACATGAAAAATATACAAAGTTTATTTTTATCATATATTAATTAAACAGTATAAATTATATTTACCAGAATAAATGTACAAGAAATTTCATAGAAAATATATATATATATATATATATATATATATATATATATATATATATATATATATATATATATATTTTCTATGAAATATATATATATATATATATATATATATATATGACAAAGTGGAAAAAATCCTTATATGACATGCACCATCCTTCAGGACTCCATCAGAGTGAGTTTGTTTATGCAGGTTTGACCATACATGTACATGCACAAATGAGAGATACTGGGAATTCTAATTATTTTTTGTTTTAAAATTTAAAATTAGAGTTTCCAGCATCTCTGATTTACACCAATGTAAACAAACTCTGATTAGGTCCTGGGTATGGGGCATGTCACATAGTGGCTTTTTTCAACTTTTACATACATCTTTCTCCAAAAGTTGTCCTTGATATATAAAAATATATATATCATTATCCCATATATATATATATATATATATATAGATAGATAGAGAGAGAGATGCATGTATATGACAAAAGGAAACCTTTCTTAGCTGATTCATTTCATCCTGTGGTAGACATCAGATAAGTTTTCCTTTTGACTTTATTCATATTGTCTTCTTACAGATATATTTGTCGTTATACCTGAATTTTGGCACACATATATATATATATATATGCATATTTACAAGTCTATCTTTCATCTATGCTTACATATTGTTTGGTGCTCCCACTACATATGTAAAGATCCTTGATAAACTCCAAAGAAGAATCAGCAATATTATTGATCCTAATCTGTTGGGTCAGCTTCAGTGACTTTTCCACCGCCATAAAGCTGTCTCCATGTGCATTTTCAATGAATACTTTTTATGGTAATTGTTCAGATGAACTCTTTGCTATGGTACCTAGACTATTTGAATTTAAGCACAGTACAAGACTGGCAATGTGGTGTCACCAGTTCACAGATGAGTTGGCTAAGATATAACCATAAATTCTATGTTTAATGTTTCTTTTCTTACACTTCACACTAGTAAAACTCTCTTCTAGCTCCATGCTTTCCATTCAACTTTAATCTGCAAAAATTTAAATGCAATGTCAATCGCTTTCTACTCTCCTTCTGATTATTCTGCTTTTGTTCTTGCTCCTTAGTAAAGTTTCTCATCTCTAATTTTTCCACACCCAGTAACTGCTTTTGTTTTAGTGGCTTTAATGCCTTGTTTAGCATGAAATCAATTAAATATATATATATATATATATATATATATATATATATATATATATATATATATGTGTGTGTGTGTGTGATATATGAAATCAGAAAATAATGTTTATTATATATATATATATATATATATATATATATATATATATATATATATATATAAACATTATTTTCTGATTTCAGTAAAATCCTATATCCACTTGTAATTAAAGTCATTTTAAAATGATTATTTCTCTCTGATTAACACATGTTGATCTTTTACAGTGACTATAAAATGAAATTCAAAATTCACTGTATGAGGAGATGCTTTGCAAGTGATTTGTTTAAATTGATTTGTTTTTTCATCTTAACACTTAACACATGTAATGTGAATGTTATGCCTTGACCTCATTTCTCCAATGTTTGAAAATAAATAAAACAATTCAAAAGGGAATGTAAATCAACCATAAGTTTTTTTAGTTTCAAATAATGTAAATAAATCAACTGCAAGTAACCAGGATACCAGAAGTGTAATGTCAATAAAAGATGACCAATGGCAAAACTTTAAGCAAAGTTTACATTTCATTCACGAAAACATGACAAAAATATGGTAAATCTTTTCATGAGATGAGAAATAGATAGTAATTGATATCACATAACATCTTCAGATTTTACAAATGTACAAATATACTGATTTCTAAGAATAAAAGAATGTTATAGTGTGCCAATTTTCCAAATTGTGAGTATATAGCATTTTTTTTATCATCATTTCACCCCAAGATACACCAAAATACAAGAGGGTCACTGAATGTGAGAGAATAGGAGAAAACACAATTAAGGAGAAACACGATTTAGGAGAAAACACGATTTAGGAGAAAACACGATTAAGGAGAGGGAACAATAAAAGAACAGGAATTAAGAAAACAGAAGATAATGATTGATATTTCATTCAAATTTATGAAGATCAAAGTTGACTGGAAAACAAGAGGCCAGAAGAGATTTCGACATGTGAAAAGTGTGAGAGAAGAAACTGTTAGCATAGAACTTACAGTTGCATCTAATCCTTTCAATTGTAAAATGAGACCTTGCAGCCAATATAGTACTGCACTTAAATTCATAAAGTCTAGAGGACAGTTCAATTATCATTATAAAATAAAGGTACAGGGTAGCAACATTATAACAGTGGGAAAGTGACTGACGCCGAGGGGCAAGATCAGGACTAATAACATTACAGATTCTACTTTGCATTGTATCAAGAATTTCTAAATATATCTCGGCAGGAGAACCAAACCAGATGTGGCAGCATTATTCAATGTAAGGATGAAAATTAAAATCTTGACTTTCATCTAGACTTGATTCCTGACAGGCATTAAAGGTAAACATGCAACTATCTTAACCACCAAACAACTACAAGAAACCTTATTCATGATAGCCCTTAAATATTACATTGGATAATTTGATTTAGTTTTTTTGTATGTTTCTTACAAATAGATTTTGTCAAGTGCTTGTTCCCAAAATAACTAACGAGTACTAATAATAAATTTGGTAAAAAGCACTTATCAAAATAACTTACTACTTGTGATACTATTATTATTATTATTATTATTTTGTAAAACTTATATGAAATCCATCTGATGTGAAGATATTAAAACCAAAATCAACATCTCCCACTGCTACATATGGCATTTCATTGTAAAAAAACACTGAATATGTTTTTACAAGGATTCATTATCCACCAAATGCAAACAAACATTCACTGATGGCATCAACAGAAAAGTAAGTTGACAAACGATAAAGTTTCTTGCACACCCATTTTATTTCTTCACTTAATCTAAACATTAAATAAATTCAATACAAGGATTAGTTAAAATTTTAGTTTAGTGGAGAGCAAAAGGAACTTACAGCGACATACAAATTTGATTACTCTTCTAGGAAGAAAACCTTTACATTTTAAATGAATTATCAAAGTTTGGGAAAGAACTACTTTCATTATCAATCTTTAAATATCAATTAATATTTTGCAAATTATAAGTATTTTTTGTAATGTATAGGATATAAACTCCTATATTTTACAGCCAATAAGTAAAGCACAAACAAGTAAGAGACACCTACAAATAAATTTTACTAAATTCAGTATATATATTTTGCAATTCTGTACAGAGCTCCAAATTAAATAAGTGGTTTCTGGAACCTGATTGGATAGAACAATTCACATGATGTGCTTTCTATGACATCTGTGTAGTTGAAGTCCAAATGACCAGGAAATGTTTTGGGGACTGGGTTATTGTGTACATTCCCACACAAAACTCAGATATTGATTCAGAGACAAGCACCAGCTAGCCATAAAACATAAAAATAGCTCACGAGCAACAGACAAGAACAGTCAGCAATGAGATCTGTGAAAAATAGTCAGCAAACCAGGCCCTACCTTAAACAACAACATAGACACACATTACCATGACAATGTGTCAGTCAGCAGTGATTTTTCTATATTGAAAAACATAGATCTCTCTCTTTTTGTTCACTGTATTTAAAATTACCACTGCCACATGCAATCAGTCAGCAATCACACACACATGCATACTGGCATAAAATACCACTTGTTTTACTCACTTGCAACAAATCCTTTTGAACAATCGAACTATTGGTCACAACAAAAAGCATTGAATTTTAATATGCAAATACATCTATCAGCCTGTATAAATGTTATTGTCGTATTTAACTTGGTCTTCTTTTTCTGCAAAGATCATTTTCTTGTGTTGTATAAAATTTGTGTTACATTTGTGTGCATGACATTCAGATTTTATTTTTCCACCTAAAGTTAGGGTAGACCCCAAATGCAGTTCCTCTCCACAAATGAGCCATATCACATTGAAACACTGTTTCCCATGCAATCACCAAAGTTAAGGAGCATTGAGTTTAGTCAGTACCTAGATGGGTGATCGCTTGGCAATGGCAGGTGCTGTAATCTTTGATGTATGGATGCTGTAATGGATAATGGCTTGGAATTGGAAAGCAGAGTTCTAATTCCATCCAAGTTCATTATATTCACTTCACTTACGTGCAAATACCCTTGGGAAAGATATGAAGCCGCCTTTTCCCCTATTAATTATAGGTTAATTAATAGGACTTGTATCAGTACATCATTATCTCCAAAAAATTCTTACAATCTAAAAATATTTTCTGGCTTTAAATAACCTGCAAATTATAAAAAAGATCAATTTAATCAAACCTCTCCACAATATTAGTATCTTTTTTTAACTTGTCAACATTCCAAACATGATTTTAACAAAAACCATTGTCTTATTTAGTTTCTGGAGATGGTATCTATGAAAATCTGTATCTATTTACAAATGCTTATGCACATGATTCAGATTTGAAAATTTTATTTGAAATAATCTGAATAGATATATTAATCAATATAGAGTTTTCCCACATCAATATTTAGATTTTAAAATCTGTTTCTTTTGTTTCTAGTTAACGTTGATCTTCCAAAATTTAAATCCAATATCAATTATTACCTTCTTAAATCTTGTCCTTTTATTGCCTTCTCTCCTTAATAGTATATTTTTCTTATATTCTCTGAATTTAGTAAATCCCTTGCATCTTAGTGCCTTTATAACCAAAGCTTAGGGTGAAATGATTAAAAAAAAAAACATTAAACTGAATTCCCGAGTCACAAATCTGTGGTGTGATAAGCAATTTCTAATGAATTCAGTGTCATATCCATAAAATTCTATTACATTAATTGAATGTAGTGTTATATGCATGAAAATCACTACAGTCAACACATGCCTTTCTTTATTGTAAATATTCATGTAAAAGATAGTTGTAATTCTCCAAAGAAATACTACTCTCTTTAAATGAGGAAAGTTTTAATGCTTATATAATTGTTTGTATATGTAATAAAGTACTTAAAAAAATATTTTCTCATTCAAATTATATATATATATTTCCACCTTTTGCTTCAGTTTTTATATGTAATTGTATTCAGCTAATATATATTAAATATATATAAATATATATAGTTGGATTGATGTGAGTTTGTGACCCTGGGTTTCATGCTTTTACGATCGTCAGAAAAACTGATTAATTTTTTTAAGTTTTGCATTTATCTAAGTTTGCGTATTGGTTTTTTATGGAAGTAGGAGGTAAATATGTTAGCCCTATCTCTGATATTGAGCGCTTTCCAATAAGTACCACACATATAATATATAAATAATATATATAATATATTGCATATATATATATATATATATATATATATATATATATATATATATATATATTTATATACACACACTTTTCATATATATATATTTGAAAAACACTTGGATTAATAGTTTAATTTGAAACTCCCCTGATATATGTTCCAGGCAAGAGGGACAGAGGAAAGCAGCAAATAGCCTACCTAATAAGCAAATGGCTGGTAGGTGAGGGATTAGGAGAAATAGCAACATGACAAGTCTTACTTTAGAGCTAAAAAGGATAGGAAGTTGTGGAGAGTCATGATCGTCCTTGTCCTGAATGGATAAGACACATATAAGAAGTTGAAATAGTAAAAAGGTTACTGTTAAAAGTGTGTGATATAAATGAAAGAGGAGGTGGATGGAAATGATTTTAAGGATAAAAAGAATAAATATTGATTGACCCATGGCTTGAAGAACTTCAGATTGCAGTGTTCATGGAAGCACCCATGTGGGAGTCTATTCCATAAAAATGTCAGTTCTTGGGGTTAAAAGTTAAGTGGACCTTTCTTCTTACATTTGGAACAATGTTTTTGTCATTATATTTGTGAGTCCTCATTTTATTTGTGATACTGTTTGGTATAAGAGAATAAAGGACCATACTAGAGATGAGGTTTCTTTATTTCAAATGAGTTGACAACTTTCAACTGCGCACAAGATCAAAAACAAAATCGGATCCCCCCTTGGTAGTTCACTTGGTATGTAGTTGGTTACATTTACAATCCATTTTCATGGTTAAAGCCATACAATAATGTGTCAGCATAAATTATCTGGCCTAATTATGTGTTTTGCTTTCATTAGACCATGTTTCAAACTGATATGTTATATTAATGTGTCCTACCATGGCATTTTGAGGTTAAGCCATGCTTTTAAAGATATTACACTCTTTACAAGCATATTTTTAAAATATAGATAGAAACCTATAATTACAGTGAAGAAATGATCATCATAATGGGAAGAACCTCTTTTAAATCTAAATGTATCTCATTAATTTATGAACAGAAGCAACAAAAATATCATCTTTCTGATAATCTAAGGTAGTGGATAATCCATCTATGAATTTATTACTTTGAAAAACAAAAATAAAATATTCTTTGATAAAGTTTTTCCATCTTCAACCTTGTCATTCTTTATAGCACAAGCCTTACATTTTGTAATGTTAAAACTGTGGGAAATGTGACAGAAAACTGTTGGTGGCTAAATACTGGTTATGGCTTCTATTATGTTCTTGGTTTAGTGATTGTGATAACAGAAGATCTGCCAAGAATGATGAAATGTTGTAAGAACCTAAACACAAATTTATTGTGGATGAACTAGTGATTAAAGCACTTTGTAAACATTTTTGTTAGAGTGAATTATTTTCTTTTTTAATTAGAGTAGCATTTTTTACATCAAAATTGTGGTCAGTCTCATTATGGTAATCAACTACTGTGTTTAATGTGTAATTTTTTTAAATGCCTCTTTAGTGTTCATATAATCATTTATTTAAACTTCTTGAGGTTTATCCAATATATTTTTTCTGGCAATCCTTGTCGGTGATGGAGCAAATTCTTCCTTCAAGTTTTGGCTCATTGTTTTGTTTGTATTAAGTCTTTTATTGCTTTAAATGTAGTTGTAATAAATTTTATGTTGAGTTTAGAAAAATTCTTTTCAATTGTAGCTGTGATATATATATATATATATATATATATATATATATATATATATATATATATATATATATATATATATATATATATATATACAGGTATATGATTGGTGTAAACAGAATAAATTCCAATAACCAAAAATTACTATTCTTAAAAGAGTGCTCTATACATAGTAGAGCAGATATAATTATTTCTTTAAAAATTATAACATAAATATGTTATAAAATCACTACAAAAATAGCCATTTTGTTTCAACACCTCCAGTGTCTTATCAAGGGGAAAACACTGTTACATAAGCTAGAATGACCAATCAAAACACAAGTATACGAGAATTAAAAAAACTTGACAATGAAGTAAGGTTATAATAGCTATTAAAAGCTTTAAAGTTGGGGTTATGCTAAAATAGAATTTATTCAAACCAATAAGTATTTGGGAAAGCGATTGTAGACTAGATGCCAAATGAGGACCTATCATATTGCATATTCATCTCTGGATTTTGTCAACAACCTCCAGATGTACAGCAGGAGCACCAGACCATACATAACAGCAATATTCTGTGCAAGGACGTATGGTTGATTTATAGATATGAAGGATGGACTCAGACGAGAAAAACTTTCTGGCACAACACAGAGAACCAACTTTCCTTGCGGTAGATGAAGCTATTGATTCAATGTATTTATTCCACCTCATGTCAGTGGACAGCATGCGACCAAGCAGGCATAACAAGGCACTCTCATGGAGATGGGAATCAGCCATTTTGATGGGAGGCAGGGAGGGTTCTTTGTGGTGGGTAAAGGAGAGCAGTTTTGTATTGGAGGCATTAAAGTTTACAAGCCATTTCCTGTCCTAGTCAACCACAGATTGGAGGTCCTTTTCAGGATCAGCAGCCAAGTTAGTTTTGTCAACGATACCAGATTTACTATTGAGGCAGGAGTAAATAGTAGTGTCATCCATGTAGATACCTACTTGGAAATTGATGACTTCGGGACGGTCATTGATGAAGATCAGGAACAGTGTAAGGCCTAAGATAGAGTCTTGGGGAACATCAGCATTTGTGGTAAAGGAGCTGGAGGAGAACCCATTTAGGATGACCTTCATTTCATGGTTTGACAGGAATGATTGTATTAAGTCAAATAATTGTCCTGTAATACTGTATCCCTGAAGCTTACAAAGAAGGCCAGCATGCCAAACCCTATCAAATGCTTTAGAGATGTCTAGATCCATGGCTCGAGCTTCTCAATTATTGTTGAGTGCTTGGTAAACAAATTCAGTTATAGCTATGAGCACATCAGCAGTAGAACAGGAAAAGTGGAAACCATATTGCTTGTTGGAGAGAACATTATGTGAAGTAAGGTGCTTAACCACTTCAGCATTGATTAAAGCTTCAAAGACTTTGCCGAAGAGTGGTAGGAGACTGATAGGATGGTAGTTAAATGGGTCAGAAGGGTCTCCAGGCACAACAGATGAGGACTTCCAACAGGCTGGAAAGCAAGAGTTAGTGAGGCAGTAGTTGTAAAGTTTAGAGAGGACAGGAATCAATTCAGGACAATGGCTGATATGCCATCCCCATCACTAGCCTTATGGGAGTTTAATTTAGAGATGATTTCTATCTTCGGGGTTATGTGTATCTCACTCAGTAGAGCCTCAGTTCTAGGGGGAAATTCAGGTGTGGGTACACCAGATGAGTCTCGCGTTGAATTGGATGAGAATTTATGAGCAAAGCATTCAGCCTTATCAGCTAAGGAGGTCAGGACCTCAAAATAGTTGAATAAAGTGGGTATTGTGGGTTTGCTGTTGTTCAGCACACTTTTGCAGGGATTCCAATAATCTTTTGAACCAAACTTGCAAGAAGCAATATGTTGTTTTATTCTTTCAGCAAAGAGTAATTTTGCTTTATTGAGGACATGCTTGCACTCATCACAGGCAGTGACAAAGAGACATCTGTTGCAATCAGACATGTCGCTACAGTACAGACAGAAATAGTGATTCCTTTGGGCAATACCTGTTGAGCAAGCAGCTGAGAACCAAGGGGATGAACACAATTTCACTTTATATTTTCTTGCAGGGATGAAA